CGGCTTGTGGACTTCGGGAGTCATTTCAGGTTTAGAAGGTGGTCTGGATGTAAGGTTTTGAAGGGTGGGTGGTGGCTTGTGAACTAACAGGGCAGAGGTGAGGATCTGGGCTATGGTGGGAGGAAGATGGGAGGTGGCTATGATTGCAGTAGGAAGAGGGAATTCTCTGATACCATGAAGAAATCAGAGAGGAAGAGGGAAATCAGAGAGGAAGAGGTTCTTGTTTTTATTTGATTCACGGAAGCCCAAGGGGCTATTCATAACTACATGAGAGTTCAAATTCAATGAATCTAGACTTCTGTTAATCTCAACAAACATGATCTTATACTATGCTAACAACAAACCTATTATCTTAACGATAAATCTGTAAACCAAATTGATTCTCACAATTTCTGCAATTCTTATCATAATAACTACCTTGACAGTAACAGAGTCGCTAAACTTCACATGCTTCTCATTCACGTTTCATCACCATGCTAAGACAATAAAGCATCCATGTCATCTTCCCCATTCATGAAGATTTTGCTTAGGAAACTTCGTGCCAGCATGCTTGCCTTTCTTTTATGTAACCCTATTATTAATTTATTATTATGTCCTTATGAGCGGGGACATGCATAGGCAAAAAGGCACTAAAAACTACCCATGTAGGAAGCACTTGTAAACCTTTCATTTTAAAGGTCTTTATTTGATGTAAGCTACCAGTTAACATTTAACATAGCAGACATACATCATCAAAATAATACTTATAATAAATTCCAAAATATAAGTTTTCTTTAGGTCAATATTATGAGGAAATTAAATTTCTAATAACAAAGGTTCAAAACTTGCATGCAACCATTGTGTTAAAAAAGCGGTATGCGCGTCCGTCTAGGGCTGAGCGGTATGAGGCTGCCCGCTTAATTCTTAAAGTGCATTGATGAACATGGGCGGGTTACACATGGACTCATCGTGTAAAAACCGGTTCATTGCTCCCTTAAGCATAATAATGAGTGAAGGGAACGGATCTGTTTAAAATGTATTAGATTAGAATTCAGATCAAAGTTTATCTAAGATAAACTATGAGGGTAGGGTTTTACATCTTTGAAAAAAAATCTTTCATCTCTTGGTGTTAATAAATGCGTACGTGCTGCAGTTGCTGCTTAGGCACCCAAGCTCGCCTAGATGCCCAACTGTGCGCCTAGGCGCTTGGCGCAATCTTTGGCACTCAGAACTGCGTAGCGCTTTCTAAAAAATTACATGCAAATGCAACTAAAGTATATATTATTTTTAATACTCAACTACCCATACCCATATTAACATTAATTATCTCATGGATTAGTTGCCCCTCGTCATCAATTTATAAATATATGATAACACCATAAATACTTTATGAATGTAATATAATATTTTGTGAGGAAGCCAACGCAATGGGATAGGCATATGAACTATTCAGGTTAGAAGAAAATTTGATATGTTCTCTCTGAATGAAAGGATGTAAGAAGTCAATATGATCTATAACTGTTTAGCAGACATAATTACCTTGTCCCTTGGCCGAAAATCTGCCCCCTATTGCTACACGCCCATGCATGCACCCACTCTCGTGTGTCGTGTGTGCCCGTCTGCATGTGTGTGTGTGTGTGTGAACACACCACATGCACATCATTTCATTCTTTGATTACGTTAAAAATCTTCTGCTTAGCGTTTAGTCTTGTATATCGTTTACTTCAAGCTTTTATGTGCAATTAGTTGACTAATGGACATTTCTTGGGGTAACCTTTGCTTAATGTGTTCATTTCTAGAATTATTTCCTAATACATGTTAAATGAACAATAAATAATTTGACAGTTTTACACTAGTTACTAAATTGAATTCTATTTGTCTTATCCATGTCCAGGTTGTGTGCAAACACTTAAAATGGGAATCTCCATCAAAGCGTGAACTCCAACATTATCGGCCTGATATTGTGTGAGTAGTTAGCTCTTTTTCCCTTGGTTTTCTTGTAGTGAAGACCGTTTATTCTGAAATCACATGCTTGATTAGCTGGGAATTTAAGATGATATTAGAGCAACTTCTATTCTGAATAGGAGCAAAACAAAATCCTATTCATAGATTCTAAAAAAATTAAAAAGAAATCATATTTATAAGAGTAAAACAAAACCCTAATATGAAATAAAATCCTAACTAGTAGATAAATCAAATAACAATTTGTCAAAATATAACAAATTTTATTCTAGCTAAACAACAAATTCAATTCCAATTAAATTACTTCTATCACGTAGCTGTACCTGTACTCGACTGTCGACACTTTTGAAAATCTTGCATACTACTTGAATGTATATCTTCTTTCAAACGTGTATTAATTATGTAATACATGTTCTAAACTTCTAATTTAAAACACTTGTCATATACTTCTTAGTCTATCCTACACTTCACATCCACTTTATGAAACTGTTTGGACATGGGTTGAGTTTGTTTCAACTTATACACTATTCAAAATATGATTTTTAAAGGGCAATTTTGGTATCTATTTCATAATGACTGGTTTCTAATTTGTAATCTACATAATAAAACTAACATAAAAGAAATGTTACAAGGATTTTAATTCTCATAACACGCAAATGAAAAACAATATTAAAAACAATATTGATTTCTTGTAAATAATTAATTTCAATGTAATTAGTAATTACATGCACCAGAATACTCAGACACTTTACCTAGCCTCCCGTATGTGTGTCCGATACTTCCTGTATCCGTGTCCATTTTGGACACTCTTTGGACACTTCTTGAATATGCATATACATTTATTTAGATGTGTACTCGATTATATAACACATGTTTTAGTTTAAAAAACTCGTAATACACTTCTTGTATGTATATATTTTACACTTCATCTCAAATTTATGCATATCGTTGGACTTGGAATATGTTCGTCTTAGCACATACCTAGTTCATGAATATGATTTTAAAGGGTTGTTTGGGTATCTAGTCCAAAAACGAGTATTTTTTTCAATGTATAATCTACTCAATAATAGAAACATAAAAATGACATAAGGATTTTAGTTCTTATAGCACGTGAATGGAAAACAATATCAATCTCATATAAATTACTAATTTTAATATGTATGTATATAGTCGTCTTGCCGTATCCTAATTTTTACAATTTTGTCGTGTCCCGTACCTGCACCCACATATAGCATATGCATGTATGTACAAATAGATACATAAGTATCTATATATGTATACATCTATACAAACTTATACATATACAGTTGTGTCCCCATGCCCTTATCTCATACAAATTTGCCTTTCCCATGCGTCCACTAGCTTGGATGCAACATAGGTCTCAATTAAAAGAAAGCTTAAATCCTTAAAATTTAAATTCTAATTAATTTTACTTAGTCTTCTAATTTCTCCTGCATCACCTAAGTAGGTGAAAAAAATGCTATAGAGTTGCCTATCATGCATGAATATGTTGGAGAATAGACAACTCCTAGACAAATATTGTGTGAGCAGAAAGATTCTCAATCAGAGAGGCCTCGTCAAATTGGATCGAACATTGGGTTTGGCAGTTGTTTGGCCTTTATAATCTTTATTTGTGTCCTGCAATTCAAATCATTGATTCTTCTAGCCAAAAGGTTTATGAACTTCTCAAGTTGAGTCTTTCGTTAAGAACATGTAATACCATGTGGAAAAGCGTAATTTCTCAATAAGAAGTATAGGGCAAGTCATTCTAATAAATACTTGACTATCTCAATGTTCGTCTATGATGTTAATGAAAGTTTGTTAGGATTCAAAAGTTTACAGAAGAATGGAAAAATTGCAACTCGAATGTCTGAGAGAGGTACAAGTAGCATCCAATCTTTGTGTCTTATCGCTTGGCAGTTGAAAATCTATTCGATGCCTCATTATTATTCAACCAAAATTTAATTGAGGTATATGCAGTTGCAATAATTGGTTTATTTGGTTGACCTTTTACCAAAGCATAAAATCATTTGGAAATCCAAATCTCAATCCTTGACTTGTTTCATAATTTTATAACTATCTATGAGTAAGTGGTAACATTCTCAGGTGACAAAAAGCTATAACATGCAAATAAAACAGCAATATTGGATGGACCATTACTTTTTTTCTTTTTTTACTGAAATGATAAATGATAGAAATTCTATGTTTGTATCATTTGCAAGGATTTTATGATAACATAAATAAACAGCGATTTTATGGTCCATTGGCGAGTTAATTACTGCCTTGGTGTGATGTACTATTTCAATTCATGATAAGATTCTGATTCATGTAAATATGGTTCGTGTAAAGAATGTTGTCTTAATGTAAATGGACCCGAGGAATCTGGATGGGAAATTGAGGATATTGGAATGAATTGTTCTTTAATGTTTCGTGTGTGTGAGAATGTGCTCCTTTTTTCCTCTCCTTAGTTTCTTCTTATAGATGTGATGTTTCAGAACGTTTAGTCCTTGATATGGAAAGAGATTTTCATTCATAACCTATGTTGGTTACTCATCTGAGAAAATGAAATAAATTAGAGAGAATAGAGAATTTGATAACCGATTTCTCTATTTTATTTAGAGTAAGCTAAGGGGTAATCTGATTTTGTTTTGACACTGAAAATTTATTGCGTCTTTAAAATTTGATGTTATTGTAGGTTTATTTTTTTCATTTTGTTTATTTAATATTGTTTTTGTTCTATTAATTTCACACTTAAAGTATATAGATTTTTTATCGTTATAAATTTTATTACCATTTTTCTGTTTGGCTGAAGAGGTGACCACTATCTTCTTTTTTGTGTGGTGGCACTTTATTTGTTACATTAAAAATATTATGCTGAGATGAAAATGATAATTAACACTACATTG